TGGAGAAACTTCCTCCGGGGGACAAAAAACTCGCTCGTGCGTACACATCTCCGTGTGACAGTAAGGTGGTGAAACGTATACAGTATCATAAGGTTTATGGAAATCGCAGAAAGAGTTTCGAACTAGGAATGATGGCCCACATGAGGGAGAGTCAAGCCAAGGACGAACAATGCTGAGGTCAGGCGTAGAGTTTTGGATAACCGCAATCGCCTACTGGAGCAAGTGATCGACCTCCATAGACTATGTTAGTTGGGGCATGTGCTACACATGTCACCAAATAGGTTGCCACGGTGAGCAATGTTTGCCGAGACAAGTAGTGGGTGGAATAAAGCCAAGGGCGGTCAAACTAAGGCCAGACACGAGGGTATGAAAGCCCTAACCAGGAGACTCGATCACAGGTCACAGTTGACTCCCTGGGTGATGACCCCGGGATGATCAGAAACCGGGGTTAGAGACACTGAGGGATATGGCTAAGTGTCGTAAACACTGACGTTCGTGAATCTTCTGAATTTCATTCGCAACCTAAGTCCACTGAAAGTCTCCACTTTCACTTCGACTCTGTTTAACTATTTGTTTCTTTCTCCTACTATTCATCCCAATAGGCAGCCAAAAACCGCCCACTAAAATGCATGGTTATTGGTTGTACAGACTGAAGCTGCTGCACGATGACGATGGTGATGAGAGCCTTCACTTCTGAGACGTGAATTCAGAAATAGGAAGCCAAACGGATCAAACCGTGCGAACCCTGGTCAGTGTTCTCGTATAGCTGCCTAGCGTATACTACACCCCGCTGGACAGTGTTTAGATTTGCCATCAATACCGAAGTTTCTGGAAACAAGCCACCACAGCGATGGATTTTGCCCAGTTGACTCGGAGCTGGTTATCGAACATCGAGGTCATTAAATACATCCGATCAGAATTCGAACTCTCAGCGCTTTTCTAATCGTAGCTCTGTCAGATGCATCTGATTCCTGTTTCAATGCAGAAAGGTCATTTCAGGTATGTTCGAAAACAGGTTTCACCAAGGAATGGCCACAGTAACTAACCTTGTTCGATTCAAAAGCCAGGGGTCACGTTACTTTCAACTGTGCGTTTTTTTGCATTTTGTCAAGCTTTCTTGGTAATCAAGGCTAAGAATATCTTAGGCTTAATTGACAACGATATGGACACCCAAACCTGGTTACCACTCAACAATGAAAATACCATGAAAACCTAGAGAACAGATACAAAATTTCGCCCCGGACCATACATTAAAAGAATTCAGAGCAAAGAAGCAATCACCTCGGAGAAACCTGGAAATTAGGACGGATACACCAGTTAGGTAAGGGGTTAACATCATCTCCACATTCAACGGATCTTAACCAGTTCAATACTTAAATTCCAAAATTCAGTAGACCAGTTCTCCTAAAAAGGGCAATAGATCCAGTGGCAAAATGTTTATCCCCAATTCAATGAACACGGTTGCCTGAAAACGCAGCAGTTACCAGTAACACTAAATACACGCTCAAATATGAGGTCATGATATTACACGTATAACATTCCAGGAACCACGAGGAAGTAGCAGCCAAAAGACGAAGAAGCAACACATTTTTTCCATTGAAACTGACTATATGTCTCTCTCTCCCACACACGCATACACACAGCCGTTGATTTTAATGAAACATACTTGTGCTGTAGTCATTCTGATTGGTGATCGGCGGCCTTGGACGAGCACTAGTCGAACTGGCAGCAACGGTCCCGAGAACTGGACGTGTGGGACGTCGTGTGACCGAATTTGCACCGGTAGAACGCGCAGCGACTGTGCTCTGACTGTTGGAGCGACTTCGAGATGCGGTCCCGTTGTCCCCGCTCATGATCGACTCCGACATGCCCGCACTGATCAGATCCTTTTCAATCAGTTTGCGCTTCTGTGCATCCAAATTCTGAAGCACAGATTTGGCCTGTTCCGGGAATTTGGCTGCGAATAGAGGAAACGCTCTGGAACAACAGGAAATGGGAAAGGTGATTAGTTCTTTCGGTGATGGTAGTTATTGACAGGTATATGTGTATCGTGTTCTACCGGGACAAATCCAGAAATAACTCTGAAAATTCCATCAATTGGCAGAAGGATGATCATTTTCTAGGTTATAAATGCGATTGGACACGGATGGCATAACAAAAACGGAAAATGAACGAGAAAACTCTAGTTAGTCGCAATGATGACTGCAGTTCAACGTAGCTTCCATTAGTATGACTGACCCACAAATATCGGCACCCGCAGACTGGAACTGGTTCAATTGTGATCACTGTTGACATGAGGCATCAACATACATTCAAACACACGTCACATATGCCGTAGCAGCAGAATATTGACGGAATGAGAATTAAAAAAGGTCGGTTTGCACATGTCCGAAAGTAACCGGTTGTTGCAACTGTGAAGGGAAGAGAAAAATTCTTCACTATATTCGCCACAATATATCTGACCATGAGCTACGCCGTTTGGGGTTTCTAATCAGAAACATCACAGCTTTCAACACCACTATGCGTAGACAAGGATGAATTCTACAAGAGTCCGACCTTCTGTTAGCTTATTTATTCCCCTTCTACACGTGACAGTCTGGCCTCCTCGAACCCTTTATCCATCCGAGACTTACCTAGGGACATTAATGCACAAGGATTTTGTGAACTGCAGATGTTCGAGCGTGTGTACGTAAACACCATATGGCTTGCATTATAGGGAATGAAAGGATTAAATAACAATCAAAAGTGAATGAGAAAAAGACATGTTTCACGGGGATAGGCAAAAACAAAAAAACAAAAAAGTGTCACTACGAGAAGAGGAAATCACTCCACAGCCCAATCGCAACGCATTCAGCTGGCATTCGTACGAGGTCCTGGGAGTCGCGGAAATCGGCGAGGACGAGGAAAACAATCCCTGAAGTTAGGACTGAATCGCTGTCAACGTTGGTACACCGCAAGTATAAGGTCGATCAAATTTTCATGAAAAAATGCGAATCTCTAACTAGTTCAGAGTACGTGTTCAACTGTACCGGCTCATATATCATACCGTGTTCCTTCGAAACTGATCTAGCTGAATTAAAAGGATATAATCACCAGTTGTAATACCTAATTCTCTTCAGAACGTTTATACAACGATAACTCACCAATATATGATCGATTTCAACTTTCACCCCCTTAAAAGCTGATTATATATATATATATATTAGCATCATCTAACTCGCCTACAAAACATCGAATCATGGCATTGATTCTGCAATGGACTGGCTCTGAAGGAGCTGCCTATCCAAAAATCACCCGGTGTTACAAACGAGGCTATTGTGACGAAAATACACTTCCCGGGTACAAGTATGAGACTGAACTGACAAAAGATTACCGGACACGCATGCCGGTGAGCGGCAAGCACCGCGAAATCGGTCGTGTGCTTCCATGGAATTTTTTCCATTCACATACTACTCATTATGAAATATATATATATATATATATATATATATATATATATAT